GTGCGTGCGTGCGTGCGTGCATTAGGTGTATATGTGTGTATTAGGTGCTGTTTGGAAGTAGATTTTCGGTGTCATCGTAGTTCTGATTTAAAAGCCAATTTGACAAAGTATGTTTCACCTCAAATTTATTTAACTTGTTAATGTTCACAATGTTATTAACACACGGTTGTAGATTATGGAACAACATATATGGTACTGTCGAGATGAAAACGTTGTTTTGTGCGGGACGACAGGACAGACTATGCGTTTTTTGTTTTGAAAGTGTCAGGCAGTACTGGTACCCACCAGAGGGTGCTTTCGTAAAACTGCACGAAACTCAAAGAGTTGTCTCACTGTGAAAACTCTAGAGATAGAATATAATTATTTATTAGAAATCTGTAAGGTTCGGAGTGAATGACTTTGAGAATAGCTCTCTGTGCTGTATCAACCTTGATAAAAGATCTTTTAGTAAATGTAAATTTTAGTAAATGGCAAAATAATTGAAAAAAAAAAAGTTTTATGAGACGTATACTTTTTTTTATAACATCAAGTGACGGGACGAATAAGTCGTGCTCGTGGTGGTAAGCTACATGCCTGTCCATAATAGTTACAGTGCCACTCAGAGCTTTAAATTGCAAAGGTCTAGGTCTTGAGACATAACTTGACAAGTTCTATGTGCCTGTAATTTCTCCAGGACCCTTACCCTTCAAAACCGGAACACAGCAATGCTAACATTACTGCTTGGCGGCAGAAATAGGTAAGGTGGTACCTTGGACGAACTCTTTCACAAGGAGTTCTACCGCTACATTAGGTACCTCCCAAGTTTTTACCTTGCTCGTACAATCCTGACCGTCCATCATAAACATGTGTTCAATCGTACAATCGATTTATATTAAAATTTCTTGTTCCAGCTTCGACGTGCGCGGCAAACATCTCACAGAAGCCCGTCACTGGTCCGCGCCAGAAGTTTTCGGTCCACGAGCACATTTCTCCGTCGCCGCACCCACAGCCGCCTTAGTAGTCCGTGACGTCAAACGTCGTGACGAGGGCGTGTATAGATGCCGAGTCGACTTTAGAAACACACAAACCACCAGTTTTAGATATAATCTTACTGTTGTTGGTAAGTAATTCGGCATTATTATATATATATTTTTGAGTAATTTATTTGTTGCTACTTCCTTCAAAGTACTCAATTGTTAAACTGTCATTTGATAGATTTCTGAACCTGATACTGAAATATAACAATCAACAATGTTCAGCCATCTTTGATCTAGGTCATTGCCTGTCTTTCAAATTTTTCAATAATGAATATCAAATTTTCTATCATGACCTACCTATATTAGAAATTCAAGCAGAATTTCTACACGTAAAAATAAATTTACTACTTGAATAATTCGTGTTCCTTATTTTCGATTTCGTTTTTGTTAAACACACCTACGCCTTCTAAAATACTATCTTGAAATCAGAACCAAGCAATCTAATTCGGCAACTTAAGCTATTTATATTTAAACTCCCATTTAATTTGGAACTCCTGAAGACTCCATTAATCACATTCCCTTATCAAGTAACCAAATATTGGTAGTTCGAAGCTCATACGTATTCATAAAGTACAGCTACCTCGCTTAATTGTTTGGTTTCGAGCCGTTTCGGAATTTACGTTCAAGCTACGGCATTGTTCGTTGGACAGATATACGGCCGCAGTAACAAGCGCCTACTTGCGCCGCTTAAGGAAGCTCCTAACTTATAGGGAAGACTTAGTTGTGTACCGAAGTTTATTGCTTCTCTTAGAGCTCGAGTCTCTTTACAGTTGATAGTATTGTAAATTCAGTTGGATGCTTGCCTTGGGAACTGTGGCAGGTGTAAAATGCTACAGCGTTATATGTTCCTGTTACCTGTCCTGTGTAAATCTTGTGTGCGTATTTAATTCTTTATATAAAATAAACTAAAACATAGCGATTTTCCGGCGGTCATTTGTTTCTTTTCAATTTGTTCCTTTCCAAAAAAACTTTGTTCTAGCTAGAGTAATACCACTCTTCGAAATACTTGTACCAAATACTGTGAAATTGTTTACAAACTTTTAATATGTCGAAGAACAAAACTGGTAAACGAAGTAACCAAATAAACAATGTTGAAGTAATTTTGCATAACGAAATGCGTTGATTTGCATCTCATGATGACGTCATTTGGACTCTTCAATTGATTGAATCTTTATTTTCTCAGATGTTTCAATTTTATCATCATCATCAGTTTATTGTGGTCGGCTGCTGGACATCTGCCTTTCAAAATGTGCATCATTTTGCCTGGTCCTTAGCTTGTCGCATTCATTGCCTGCTAACAGCTTTCCAGACCGTCAGTACATCTAGGCGGAGGAGGCTCTATACTATGTTTGTCAAGTCGTGGTTCCCACTTAAGAACTCGATTCCCTCATCTGTCATCGGTTTCTTGACTCATATTACCAGCCCACTGTTACTTCAGTTTAATTAGTTTATTCTTCCAATTTGGTATGAACCAAAATTCAACCAACCAATCGAAATTGCGTCATCAAATCCATAAATCCTGTAATCTGAAATAACTTGATGGATCGTCTGATCGAACTTACATGTTCAATCACTGTTCCCCAACATAGTCGCCTTTTGAGACGTTCAATATTCATTAATGGTAATTAATTAGGTGAATTCAGTTTTGGTTCAGCATGTCTTGTGAACTGACACTAACGTGTGGTTAGCATACGCAATGAGCTGTTTAGCTTGGTAACATAATTTAACTTGGGTAGATTTGTTGCTTGTGTTTGTTAGAGTGACCATGATAGAAAAATTATGTTCAATACAGAGATAAGAATCAATAGAACGTTAACAAGTACAAATGTGTTGACCTACATTCCTACTATTTTACCAATTATCAAAAAATACTCTATCGTTAATAAACAATTTGTATGTGTTGGTATAGTATAAATAAATAGTATGTCTTAGATCCGTTCTTTTCCATCAAAGTTTATTTATTATCTTTACCCTAAGGATACTTGCTAGTTATTCCAGCGTAAAAGTCGCAAACCTACAACTAATCGAAAATTTCGTTACAAAAACACGAACTCTTAGTAAGTCTGTCATTCAAGTTTTACTTATCTTATAACTTGGTTTATCCACCAGCCATCTGGGCTACCCTACAGGGAATTTCTCTGGGTCTCTCTCGACCCATTTAGCTCACCTGTGCTATACATACAATCTTATTTGTTGGTGTATTGAACGGCTATTCCACAAAGAGGTAGTAAAGGCACTAAAACGGCGCCTTGTGATACACCTATGCACCAAATAATAAAGCCGTGGGAATTTGTAGTGAAATATTGATTTCGCCTGCCACTGGTTAATATCTAGTGATCTTATCGCGATTGATTTAATATCCTTGAGTTTACCAATTTCATTAGATTGTAAGGAGTTTATTGATGCCATGTGCAATATTTTGCACCTGATTTGTATTTTGTTTGACAATTTTTTTTTTTATACATATGAAACTGTATTTGTTTTCTGAAACACCATCAAGTCAAGGATGACTAATACCATCTCAGTGAGACGTATTTTGGTTTTTTTTAAAAAAAAAACGCGATTTAAATCCGAAAAAATAGTTTCATTCCGTTTAATTCGATATGCGAGGAAGTTTGAAAACTCTTGAAACAGTCGCAGGCATACTTCAGTTTTTGGGATTCGTCGTAGTCAGTTTCTTACAGTACAAATTATTTAATACATTTTATAGGATGCCATAACAGAATTAAATTGTCTACAATTTATATAGTTAGTTACTCAGTGCTATTTACAATATTGATGATTTTTTACTCAATATAAAACGTAATGTATGTATGTTGTAGCTTTGACTTCCTATTGTTTTATTAAATTCTAATTGTTAATTACGTTATTGTATAAATTTAACTTTAAGTGTATGCTACATCACAAGTAAATTAAAAAGTGTCTAAAATAGGTTTTGGTGAATTGTGCGACTCATTGTTAACTACATTTTTTAACGAACAAGTTGATTGTAGAGTATGAATGTCCATTATCAATAGTCACGTAAATACCTGAATTTGAATCTAAATCTGAAAACCACATAACTTTTTCGAAGGAAAGTTATACCTGTTTACGAAATTTCCGTCACAAAACAATTTGTTTTTAAACATATTGTTCCTGAAATCACCGAAAGATTTATAATAAAAATATAAAACAATTACAACGTAATTATCTTTCCCATTTATAACGTTGACGATGAAAATGGGGGAAAATTAAACATTTTGCATATTCATTCTTTCTGACAAATCTTTGAAAAGATTTTAATATTAATTTAATCTACTTATAAAACCATTAGGGACTACTTCAGCTTGCGTTATGGGAAAAATATAGCATAAACTTCGGTATTTATTCATTCATTATGTCTCTTTGAATATATTTCAACATTTGTAACCTTATTGAGACCACTAAATGGTCTGATGACCGATTAAGAGTGATGTCACACGGGCGGCGCGTTGCGTCGTTACAACGTTATGACTTCAACGCACCAAGTGCCACACGACCAATGCGGTATCGCAACGTACTTACGTACCGCAACACCCCTCCTAGCTTCGTCTACTGGCCCCTTATTAGCGATGGGCGAGTCGAGTTATTTAACTCGATTAACTCGAGTTACTCCCACAACGACTTAACTCGAGCTACTTTTTTATAAACTTCAGATTAGATCGTGGCGTTATGAATGAACCACTGACGTTCACTATTTTTAAGTTTTACAAATCTGTAGAAACAAGCGTACTTTTATTACAAACAAAGCGTACTTTTATTAAAAGCAATAGTCGTGGGTTCAAATCCAAGCTCGCATCTTCTTCTTGGGGTTCCTCTCCTATCGGAGGTTGGACAACATCATGGTAATCCTGACTTTAGAAGCTGCCGCTCTAAAGAGCAAAGGGGCACTGGAGCCGAACCATTACATCAAATTTTTCAACCAAGAGTGCCGCCTTCTTCCAATACTTCGTTTTCCAGCGATTTTGCCTTATGTCTAAGTTAGTAAAGACACATTTTCTATAATATTAATCCCTTCTGGCTATCGTATGACGAGTCTCTCATGCCTGTACAAATGGGCCGTCGACTCCGGTCGCAACAATCGCCAGGAGGCTGTTGAGGCTGCCGCGTACGTGCCGCAACAACGACACAACGCGCTTACGCATAAAGGCGTGAAACCCGTCCGTTCGCGTCTCCGCAAACATTGCGGACGCACTGCAATGGCGCGGCAGCCCCAACAACATCCTGAACACATTGTTATATTAGATCCTTAGGGTCGTATTCCAGAACTCTACTCAATGCTCAAGTCAGGATCTGAGTATGATTTCAAGCACTGGAAATACGACCCTAATGGCAGGGACTTGAGTATGATTTCGAGTGCTTTAAACCATACTCAGATCCTGACTTGAGCATTGAGTAGAGTTCTGGAATACGACCCTTAGGGCGCTATATGCCTTTTGCGTATAGTGGATCCATAAGTTGCAAGTGTAAAATGTTTGACAGAGCGTAATTTTTACGTCCTTTGTACACTTTGCAAACCTACGGATCAACATGTTTCTTTTGACTGTCAGCGCTATACGCTCCCGCTCCAAGTCCACGTTATCTTTGAGAGTTGCAATGACCCAAAGCCGCAAGTACTTCAATTCAGTAACTATGTGCGAGATTATTAAATTCAGTAACTGTAGCTATGTGCGAAAAATTGAAATTATATTATGATGAGCTTTTCGGTGAAGGAAAGCAACGTGATAAAAACTGCACGTCGAAAAAGGTCCACAAACCTCGGAAAACATCTGAAGGCTTGATACTCTCGCCTGAGAGGAGACTCAAGCACACCAGTGGGACGCATAAATGAGTTGATGATACTACGATAAAAGCACTTTTGACGTTCGATCACGGGTGGCTTTATGATTCGAAGGATATGAATTAAATGGCCGTAGCACAATCAACTGAAATTTGGGCACGGATATAAAACTCAAAGATTTGAACCCTTATTATTATAATTTTTATTGCTGAGTAGGTCGATTGTTGTATTGTACTAGACTGTTACGGCCCTTTTCACTGCCTTAAGGTTTATTCCTTTATCTAA